TTTACTTATTAATTTAGAAGGTTAATCCATGTTTCACTTTCCATACCAACTTGATAGCTATGAACTCATGAATTTGAGATCAGCTTTTATCCAATTCCACATTTGGTCATTGATCGAAGGGCCTTGACAGTTTTTCAAGAAAACTTGTCCATCGGAAATGGATTTTAAATACGCAGAAAACAGGGTAAGTTGGCATTAGAGCTTGGCGCCAAAGCCGCTGTGGGACGGATGGCGTTTAAGCAAACGAGCAAAGACAAACTTCACAAGGGTAACCATAGCGCTTCTAGGCCCAGTGAAATAGTCAAGCGTTGTAAGGTGTACGTGTTTTAATTTGACCAGTTATGGAAACAAAACCCATTAATGGTGATCCACGAGGAGTGATTTATCGGGATGCCACCACGGAGTCGGGTCAACAGGATTGTTAGCCTCCACGTAGTTTTTTCTATGGCTGTAGCTCAAGAAACAGTACAAAAGCAGGCGACTCCATCCAGCCATAAGTTCACCTAAGATATGTAGATATGGCGGGTTTCGTGACAGCGCCTCGAACCTAAATTCAAGCCTCGTTCTCGGCTCTCCCAGTGGATAATACGCCAGGCGCGGAGATGCTCCATGCGCCAAGCTTGGTACACCTGTGTTGGCCGAGGTCGGAATGGACAACCAAATGGGGACTATCCTTCGCTAGACGTCCTCTCCGGAATTCGTGGTTTCTAGATCCTAATAAAATCCATTATCTCTCCTCAATTTTGAGTATTGCCATATTTACAAAGGACATTTAAATCGACTTTCCTCTCTCTCACTGTGGAGCACAGCTGGCATCGAACTAAGAGACGTTTTATCTGATATGCTAAACTTCTCCGCCGTGCTCGCATACCTGGAACAGACAAAAGCGATTTTTTCCAACAAAGCCCCTCCCCGCAATCGCTATCCCCTGTGCTTTGGGGAAAGGTTGGACATATCGCTTACATTGCATCTCCTCACCGTACACACACACACACACACCACAGGGAAGGTCTAGCGTCATGTATATGCAAGCACGGGGGTGGGATGGGACAGAAATCCCGTTAACTCCCCCCCTCAGCCACCGAGGCTGTTTTGTCTATTTCAAACCAACTTGGTGAAAAGTTAAAACTCAGCCCTGCACGAAGCAGATGACATTACCGTGGATGTCTGGACGTGCCAAAGTGCAAGTTGACTCAATTAACCGAACCGGCAATCGATGTTGGACACAAATAACCAATCCCCAATTTCGAAGTGACACAAAATGTGTCTTTTAATGTGAGAGGGCCTTAAAAGAGAATCTGTGTGGTGGTAATGACTTTAGTTAAGCCAGTGTTCTAGTAAATCACCTCTTTTCATTCTAACTACCTAAGCATTTTAAAATTCATTAAGCCGTTATCTTCAAAAGGCTGTGATGTGGGCATTATCACAATACTGCGTAACTAACCTGTGAATTCAGTCAAATCTGTCACTGTTTTGACTCGAAAAGTGGTGTGCACAAACCAGCGCTGCATAAGCGACGCTTGTACCCGTAAGAGAGACAAGTGAGGGTCCCTCCGCGCAGGAAAACTGTTTGAGATAATGGATCATTTCGTGGACCTAACACCTTCTCATCTATAACTCTAAAAACACTGGGGATGCACCTCTTCGTATGGAAATTTCCCACCTCAATTATGCAAAGGTGTTGAAATGATCGTCGTCGATGCCTGTCACCTGACGATACTCTTTATGGACGTACAATTTAGATGGTCAAAAAACTGCTTTTACTTCTACCATAAGCATCTCCATTTCCACGACATTGAAAATGTCATGTACAAGAAAGCAATAAAACCAGTAATAGGGTGGCAGCCAATGAGAGACTTTTGAATCAGACCCCTCATCTGTGTTTAGGTATGTTTGAACTTTACTTGACATTAAAGGCGTGATCTCCGTGAGACGATCGGTGTGTTGAAGCAAGTCCAGACCAACGATGTGTACGACTTTAAAGAAGACCAACCAAGTGGTGGCCTAGAGACTACCAGGGGTCCGATGGCATGGCCATTGACGTAGCTGTGTGGCGAGTGGTTATGATTAATAGGCAGGAATGTGGAAGGGTGTGTGTTTAAGCGACGCTCGGTCTCGGAGGTCTGAAAAAATGGTCATCTTTATTATTTTTAGTAGACAACAGAGCAACGGAAAGAGTGTGTGAGGTCAGAGGGAGAGCATGCGTTGGTCTAGACCATTGCATTGTGCCGATCAATTAGGCTGGCATTGGAGAAACTCTAGGGGAAGGCAACACCAAATTCATTCAAACTAAAGGCAATGCGAGAGAAAGAAATAGGCGCAGAGACCAAAAAGAAGTTGCGGTTGTTGAGTAAGGAAAGAGGTGAAAATAACTAATGGATCGATTCGCAGAAAGTGTCAATTTTTTATTTTGACAGAGTGCCTGAGAAGTGCTGAAAGGCATGGAATCGAAAGCCTTGATAATAGTTGGCAGAGGCAATTAAAATGTTCATCTTATGTTTCAATTTGTAAAATCATCGCAAGTACCAATAAAGGTGCAAGTGCTGGCGTAAATTACAAACTAACTTGCAGGTCATTACTCCAATATGAAAAAAAACGTAATTTGGAGTAACAATGTTATCATAGGAACGTCAAAAGGTACGGTCCCAGATTATTTGTTTTTTTAATCCTTCAAGTTACTTATCCGAGAAAAGTTTACGATGTGGAGTTACGTCTCTGGACACCCTGACTGCACTTTAGTGGACGCCACGAGAAGGGAAGGCGTCCGCACGGCGGTCAGACCCGAAATGTGCGTGGGTGCTGAAGCCAACCAAGCGAAGAGCGGGACTTCCGGTTAGATGCAATGAATGATGCCATTCTGCGTGTTTCCTGAATGCCTTGTATAATTAGTATAGCAAAGACAATGTAGTTAACATATTCAGAGATAATCAGGGGATATTTAAAAGGTTATGATGTTAGTCCCGGCATTGGCGTTTTTTCCTTGCCACACATTTCCTGATCCTCTACACCGACCGTCGTTGGTATCACCTCCAGTGACACTACCTCTCTACTTCAAACTCACAATCTTCTTTGGTCTTCTGAATCTTCACTGTATATTTCATGTCTCCTCATACCGCAACATTGGCAATCGAGGGATGTTTTTTTATTAACGCTTCTCAGCACTATCCACTAAGCGGTAATTTTATGTGATAAAAAAATAATCCTGGAATCGGTATAGATGAAGTATCCTTTGGTGGTTGGTCGTATCAGACTGAATTGTCAAACTCAACAATCACACCTTAGTATGTACACCGTGATTCCTTGAAACGTGATTGTTTTCACCAGAGATCTAGTGGACAAGGGCTGGTAAAATCACGTGGACTATTTGAGTAAAATTCAGTTTCCTTAACACCAAAGGTGCCCGCGTAACTTTCACTAGTCAAATATTGATAAGGATCTTAAAATGGAGTTACTAGGTCATAAAATTAGCCAACGTGCATGAGTGGAGGAGGAAGTTATGCTTGCAGTTGCAGTATACGGGTTGACCTGCTGGAGCCGAGGCTCTGAGAGTGGTGGGCCACTATCACGGAGTGACGGGGATGGTTAAGGGAGAGTGGAGAGGGGGGGCTCTGACACACCCAGAAAGGCCCTCTTTTCACCGGTTGCACACGTGCACATCTGTTGCTGAAACGGCCGGCGGCTGACTCCTGCCTTAGCAACTGGGCGTAGCAAAAGCTTATGCATCCAGCGCGTGACCTACCCTCATGTTGAGCAACTTCGTGTACACGTACAATTAACTGAAGTTAGGATGGGTACCGACATAAATTTCGGGCTTTTCCACAAAACAGTGACTAGGCTACCTCTACAGGAATATCAAGCCATTTTGTAAAAATTACCCATACAAGATGCACTCTTCCTCGAAGTGCCCATAGGCCCAGCCCATAAACCATTGTAAGGACGTACTGATTGGGGTAACACAATCATTTATTTTCATCGCTATAGTCTATCCATGTCCATATGACACATGTTGTGTTTATGTGTTTTGATCTGAGGAGAGTTGGTGGGCAAATTAACATAGGATAGGATTCACACATAATTTTCAGTAAATCGCAAAATTTTGGTTCAAGAATGAGAACCACTGTGTGCACACTTGGGACAAAGGCCAAATCAGTCAATTTGCGGAGATTAAGTTGGATGCATATTTGCCTACATTGTAGTCACTGAACATTGCGTCGTAAACACTGTCTGATTCGAGTTGCGAATATGGAAGCAAACAGAAGACAGGCTTTCTAATTCAGATTTCTCTCCAATTCGAAGATTTCTAGAAAATAACCCAAAGGAAGTCTTTTGAAATCCCCAAAAACCCATTTTGCATGAGTAATGCAGCTAATCCAGAAAAACGTAGAACGGACTGAAATATAATTAATCCACGAGTTCTTCAGCACATTCGACATTTCTTTAGTGCTCACCACAAATTTACAGGCGGTTTTAATTAATCAATTTTTCCTTGTGATTAAGTGCGCTATAAATGCCACACTAGCCAGCCCATTTCACATTTTAAACACCTTTTTATTGACAAGATTCGGATCCTGGATATTATTATAGCCGGTAACATATTGCGTTAATATGGAACAGTTTACAAAACATTTCAATACAATATAATTAATCATAACCCCTCCACTCAATGTTAACATATGAAAGCACCTGTCATAAGCAAACACGGACATCGCACGTGCGCTCTCATATTTCGCTAACACAGCTCGCACCAATCGGAAAGCAAGCTCCTTCGGGAGGCATGACATCTCCATCTAATTCGCTAGCACCCACCAATAAACGTGGGAGGCGAATGAGCGCTGCTGCTCAAGACTTTGCAGTTCATATGCTCAATGGCTGCTGAGAGGATTATGTCGCTAGACTGCTTGAATCCAAACCCATCAAGTAGCCCCTTTCAGCCTAATTTCAACACTGTTCCGACCACAAGCTCATATTTCAGCGAACCGACAAATTTTATATCTTCGAGAATGACAAACAACGAGACCTACCACAATTCCAGCGCTTATGATCAGACTGCATACACAAAACACCTTCCAGATGAAGACTACGCGCCAACGTGGGCTTGCGAGGGTCTTCGATCGAGTTTTTATGGCGATGAGATCATGACAACACCATCCGAATTTTCCAGTTACCAGGGTAATTGGAAAAACGTGATGGCGCACAACCAGGAAGCTGTGTACAGCCCAAAATCGGTTGGCTCGAACAATACCCCAAGGGGAAATCTTGGGGCACCTTCCGCGGACGACGAGGAAGGCGAATCGGTTAGTGGTGAATCAAGCTCTGATGGTCTTGGCGGAAGACGTCACATGCATGAGTACTCGCATGATGACTTCTCCCAAGATGGCTATTCACTTTGTAAAACGGCTTATTCAAATTCGATGAGTGGAGCTCAACGTGGAACACAGTGTGCAGTAGAACAGGAACCGCATTCAAAGGGCTCCTATGGAACAACAATCAAGCAAAATGAGGTGAGTTTTGTTTTGAATTCTTGGTGCATCTATTTAGTTTTACGTGCAAATCCCTCGGAGCTAAATGAGCAGATCTCCTTAAAAAGCTAATATAAAAGAGCACAGGATCAAGTTGTTAAAGTATCTACCAATTAACCGCAACTGCATAAAAACAGTCAGATTTTCCGTGGTGTATTGGTCCGCAATTAAACTTCCCTCCAGTGTTATGAGCGCTGAAAATGCAGAATAAACTCTACAGAAGGGTTGAACATGTAAGCAGAAAAACAATACCATGAATCAAGCTAATCGAATCGTCGACCTTTTGGGTTTTGTATCATAATTTTAATAAATGTTTAACAAACAAAACATTGACAAATCACGATCGGTCTGGGAATGAGCTTCAGTTTGAGTAGATAGAAAGCGCCATTCCAAGACATCAAAATGATAGGACAGGGCATTAAGAAGTTTCATGAATCGGGCACTCGGACCACGATACTACTGCGAACTTGTTGACATTGAGCTTTCTCGATGGCTTTTCTTGAGACTTATTCTACTCAAGATTTTAAGAAAGAATCACTGGTCAGGACCCGAAGTTTTGTCAACGTGTTCTTAAAAAAAATTTGCCTCATTGCCAATACATAGGTTTCAGAAACCAACTCTACGGCTCCGTCTCCAGCCAAGTGTATGGGTTTGCCACCTCCGCTACAGCAGACGCACAAAGTTTTCCATACATTTACACGCAGATTAAGGTGAAACTGTGTGCCGAAGTCCTAGGATTCAATAATAGGGGCTGCGTCTCTTTGGAACAAAAGCGTCATATTATAACGACAAAAGGGTGGCTCACCTGGACAACTCTTTTTACTGGTTTTGATAATAGTTATGCTGTGTTCAAAGTAGAGCCTCTTTTCACACCCAGGCTTGGTCAACTAAAGTCTCCGTCAAATGATAAGAAAAACCTCGATTCGCAGAGTAGATTGCGGAATGACATAAATTACGGTACTGGTAACTGATATTTAATGACTTTATCCGACGTTTCCGAGTTGGCTAGCTGACTGAATAGGGGTAAAAGTATCTCTTTGCTCATAGAGGCTGCAAATGAACGCAGTGCTTCACGAGTTTGCTGAATCCAGACCAGCCACCTGTAGACGAAGACCGGTCGCCCTTCGGACACCATAACTGATAAAATCGAACGACAAAACGTAGTTTTTACGGGCATTTTGGTACGCCATGGTAAGGTCCAGATGTTTATCTTGTGCAAAGGTCTGATTTAGTACCTATTCTTAGGCTTTCCTTGTTCTGCTTCTTCGATAGCTTTAACGTTAGTCCAAATCCAAAGCGTTTTTTGTCTTACGTAGAAATGTGAGATCCATCAATCTGATTCAGTAGCAAAATGGCGTATTTTACTTCTTAATCGAAACAGGAATTGGACGGTCTGAGTTGCCTTCAGCCGAAACTAAAGGCGAATGTCGAATTTCGAATGCTCAGGCTGAAGCCACCTCGAAAGGCCAACCGACTGGGATTGAAACTGCGTAGTTATTTGTTGAGGAAAGCCATAACTCGTTTTGGTGGGCAGTTGGCTTTCCACCTCATCGTCACTTTTTCCCAAATAATTTTGCTAGTTATTTACAACGGAATTAAATAGCAAAGGAATGTTGGAATCGTTAGTGTGCTAAGGCAGCATTCCCCGTTCACGTAAACAGCACGAACTATTTGAATTAAACACACATTTGAGCAGCATACTTTAATGCAACGAAACTTTGAAGGAAGGAAATTGATCTGCGAAATAGTCGATACTACCTAGCCTTCGATGTCACCCAGTTAGCTACTAGTCAATAGTAGGCATAGATTTAGTGTCTCGATTGTCAGAACGTAGAAACTAACCATGTCCTTTTGTCGCAACTTTTTGGCAGGTATGATTGTATGGAACTATTAGCATTATTGTTACATGTCAATTTGTTTTAGCATTATTACAAGCAACTATAGGCAACTTGGTTTTGCACAATTGCAACATTGTTGAATCCCATCTTATATTGTCTCTGAGAAAAAAATTTCCCAAATAACCAACTATTTGGCTCAACCCGATTACTAGGGTATTTAAGCGCATTCTGAAGGGACAAACCGATTTTCATCAGGACGGACCTTGGGTGAACAGTTCGTGGTGAGGCAACTTGGCCTTTTAACAGGTAGACTGAATTTTCCCTACCAAGGCCGGAGCGACACACACAGAGGGAGGGAGGCAGGGAGGCTGGACGGCGTTTCCGTCACCGAAGCTGTGACTGACAGCGCGGTTGAGCCGGCGGCGAGGCAAGGTGCGGGGGTGGGGTATGGGCGGGGGGGGGGGGCTGTTGTCGCTGTTGTTGCCGTGCCCGAGCATTGATGAATTTTATTACTAATCGCTCACCCACTCTTGCCTCATTCTAATGGATTTAGACATTGAGCAGAAAACGTCTTCGTATGAGAGCAGAACACGACCTCGCAAAATGCCCCAAAACTCTCCGATTATTGCCTGTTACACATGAAATGTTGGACACAAATTTCCTACTTGTTGCTTTACTCGGTTTACCAGTAAACTTGACTCACAGTATGAAACCAGTGTTAAGTCGATCGTGGGAATCCTGACAGTTCGTAGATTCTGACAGGTTATTCGCACATATTGAGAGTGTCTAATTGGCATAGGGATTCGATTAACTCTGTGGTTAAAAGTGCATCATCATCCTGGTCAAAATCCCATGAAGTGATTTTGAACTGATTCCCAACAGTCTAGTCATAAGTTGGTGAAATGACTCACGCAAATGTAGATAAGTTGGCAAGCACATGTATATGAGAGTGAAGTAGGTGATTGAGTGCAGGTAAAACGCGCTGTTGACAAAAGGTCCATAGCCCTGTGGGTGGAAGGCTCAGATGTGGTAAAGTCGATCGGGGCCAAGTCATCAAGGAGGAAAGCGAATGACGTGGAACGGACCGCCTATGCACCCTCCCCGACGCCCTCCTCCGCATTGTTAAAACCAGCTTTCATAGGTCGTCCCATGGCTCCAACAGTCTTGAGATTCTAAATTTAAGTGAATTGCTAAGCAATTAACGAGGGACGAACGACTCCCTGGGGTGACCCAATCACACACCTTGATTTAATTGAAAATAGTTTTAACTTATTCAGAATGAAGTAGGGCTGGTGTCATCTATTTTCACAGCTTGGACAGTGACTTCGCATTCCCCAAGGACAACTAGCATTATGACACCTGGCCTTTGTCCTCTAAGTACAAGCAACACAAATACACAGTTGCGTTCTTTGGGAGGCCTTTTCTTTAACTTTCCACGAATGATACAGCATCACGATCCGACTTCTTTCGTTTTAAGGTACCTTTCATCTTCAGACGCAGACGTCTGGTTGTTTAACCACCTGTAACTTGAGAATGTGACTTAAATTTACTACTAGCCCCTACTATTCAATCCAGCTATTGATGCAACGACATGCGAAGTGTCTGCTCCAAAAAGGGATATTTTGTGTTCAAACAGAATCCGAAAGTAGGCATTTTGAAGATATTCCTTTCCAAACCATTTTGAACCTCTTACAGTGTAGTTAATTTTTAACGGGTTTGGGGACGTTGATAATTAAGAGTTTCTCAGTTCTCGATTTTGAGGCTTCTCGGGTTTATAGGCATAAGTAACTCGCTGAGTAGCTCATGTCCACTTAAGTCAAGTCCCAAATCAGACATCTTATTCTTCCCTCCAACTAATCGCACAGAGATGAAGCTGCCATGTTAATTATATTGCTTGACTTACCCATATATTACATTGGACAACTAGAGGGCTCAAGGGCACAAATTGGCTATGTTCCCACGCACATTTGCTCGACGGTGCAAAGTTACATCCAAACTCTTAACGACCCTCGAGAGCCTCTAATATGGACAGTGAGATGGGCTTAGTTTTCTGGAAAAGAAAATCTACAGTTAGACTTTGATAGTCTATCTAGCGGCTAGTTAGAAATCAATGCGAAATATGAACAGTGCTTTGGAACTGAATCGGTATACATTGTGGTTATTTGGGCTATCTCACATCTGAGGTTTCACCAGAGTAAAGTTGGGTAGTAAAATTCTCAAAGTCAACTGGAGCCACCCACTCAGAATAAATCAATTATTCCTTAGGCACGTCGAGAGCGAGAGAGAGACCAGTTGCAATGACAAGGCAGATAAGTAATGGGACAGTTGGAGGTCGCTGTCAATTGCTCGGCCATTCGTCTTATCTGATGTGCACCTCCTCCCATGAACTGCGCAATTAACCGCCCCACACCACCAGCCTCGGCATGCACAGAATACCCCATTTTGTGGCTGCAAAGCGCCATTTTATTGGCCATCGTCAGAAGAGTTGAATTCATAAGCATCCTTCTGATATCAGCGATACTTTGAAAGCGGTTTTGTTAAAAATTTTCTTTGGAGAGTTAACTAAAAACAGAAGCTACTTCTTTAGCGAAATTTAACAATAAGATTTATCCGTCCTGGGTTGATAAAAAGAAAGCCCTGCGCCAGCCAGTGCGCTTAGATTAATTTCTAAAAGCATGCTAATGGAGTGTCCAAAAATCCACGAAACCCCATGAAAAATAACGCAGAATCCTCCCATAAGTGCAACTGATTCGCCATCTTAAAACCTTATGACAAACTCCTGATCGTGAAAGCAACTTACTGATCCACGGTGGGCCAAATACCACTTTAAAACTCTATTCAAAATATTTTATCCTAGAATACTACGATGACTGTACACAGTGGCATTTACCTGAGAAGAATAACTGAAGATAAGACTTATGCTAGAAAAAGGTGGCCCTCGATGATTTAAACTCACCCATTTTAGGCGCCTTTATTGAAGAGTGACATGGAAAGCCTGGTCCGGTTCCCTCCACCCACTGGAGGTTTCAACACCAGCACAACTCGATCCCCAGGCTCCTCTAACGCACCCCCTGCAGGTGGCAACCCGGTTAAAAGGGAGGAGCGCGTAAAGCGGCCAATGAACGCCTTCATGGTCTGGTCTCGGGGACAGCGGAGGCGGATGGCACAAGAAAATCCAAAAATGCACAACTCCGAGATCAGTAAGCGACTTGGAACAATGTGGAAGGCTTTGAACGAGACCGAGAAGAAGCCCTTCATCGATGAGGCCAAACGCCTGCGAGCCAGCCACATGAGTCAGTACCCAGACTACAAGTACCGGCCACGAAGGAGACACCGGCCGCTGGAGAAGCAAAAGAAAGCCGTTGCTGCGATGGCTGCCGTGGCGACAGCAAGCAGCCTGTTTTCAGCCCCTTCTGTTGGCCAATCAAGTTCTTCGACGGAGGGCTTTTTTGGACTCAGGCATTCAGCACAAGTGGCCCCAGGGTATAGATCTTTCAACACGAACGCTCAATATGCCTACACTGCATTTAGTCAGCAGTACCAACAACAGCATCAACCACTACAGCAAAATTCATATAATGAGGGTTTCTCACAGTACAGCCGGAACCGACAAATATACGGCGATTTTCAGCATTTAAGTCATCCTGCATACTCTGGCTCGTGTACGCCAGTTAGTAAGAACTCTGAGGTTATTCACCAACGGCCGGAATTTTCGAAGTCACCATTCTACACGATTAGCGGAAACAGTTATTCCTCCGAACCCGATAATACTGACCAGAGTGTCAAAACTGTCGTGACCAACTCCGAAATCGATTCGAAGACGGCTGTCATGGCAGCTGTGGCTGCAGCAAACTACGCGGCATCGAGACTGGCCTATTATGGGTCTACTGATTCAGCCTCCAACAACTGGGACAGCTGGTGGAGCGAAAAAACTGTGTCCGCAGATGGGAGCACTTTGGATCCAGGTTCTAACCAATGGGTTCGCGCTTTGGAGGAAGCACGAAAATTTGAACAAGAGACTGATGGCCACTGTCGCCGACCTAGTGATTCGAAGGACTCCTCATCTCTCACATATTTGTCGGCGTACTTTAACGGCTTCGGAAGCATGATTGGTTTGAGGGAGAATGGTCACACACCGTATAACCGAAGTGGTCTCTTGCTAGAGAAAGAAACAGAGGGTCTGTCAACTTTCTCAGCTTCATCTTCCACTTCTTCTGCCAACGAAAAACATCACTCAGAGGCACAACAAACCAATCGAACATCTTTGCCTTCTAACGATGAGAGGTTCTGCCATCAGACAAATCCGATCTACGCGGCATTCACTGCTATGGCGGACTATCACAGGTGACAAAAGAAAACGACCCCTCTACCCTAACTTTCACCTTCCGAGATCAGGTAGACAAGGTCTTCACTTACTAACTGTTCGTCTTTCCATTGTGAGCACCGGCACGCGTCGTTGCTACTGTAAGACATTCGCACCCAAATGATCTCCCTCAGTTTCCATCCTGTTCAACCTCTTCCGTGACACAAAGCAGGTGAGGATATTTTCGGATGCATGTTTCCAGGTCCCTATTCCTGTGATGCATGAATTTCCAGTTCCTGTAATCACTGTTATTACATTTAATTTTTATTGATTAATCACTGTACAGCAAAATACTCATTCGAAGTTTCTACAAATTGTAATGTGGATAGTCTCGTTTTGAGGTAAATTTGAGAGCAAGTTTACAGCTACCTACAAGGTGTATTTGCGAGTGTTAGAGATTTAAATAAAAGGGAGTAGCCGCTAAAGTCACTAGAAATAGAATGTCCTTGGATTAAAATTCCCTTACAAATATAATATTTCTTTGGATTTGGAAAAAGTTTGCAAAGTGTGGGAGGATCATGGTTAGGCAAGAGCTCTTAAAAACCTTGACAGCACAATTTTGATTCCTCATGTGTGGCTGTTAATCGCTTTTGTAAATCGTAACCTGAGAGGGAGAGACGCCTTCGAATTTGCATAAACCCACTTATGTTCCCTAAGAATTGCCGAAATCGCTACCTAAAAAGGGTTTGACCCCACATCCAACAGCTAAAATGACGACACATCATACATAAACTACGATACAAAAAAAGAAAATATCAATTAACGACTCATGGTAAATGACGTTAAGTTGCAACTCTGAGGAAGGATGACATAAATAGTCGATTGAACGTCAAATAAATCTTCGTATAGAGAAAATGCTTGAGTAATAATAAGGAAAATAAATGCTGGAACAACCTAAGTAGCTTTGGTGTATGCACCGTTATCACGACAGGTGAAGACATGTTGTCCAAGCTCTCACTCAAGCTGCGTTTCTCTGCCACCAGCACATTTTTAGGGTAAATGGACATTTCCGGGAAACTCATTTAAGGCACTATAGATGTAACTGAAGGTAGTCATCAATTACCATGATAGAGAAGTATGGGTCATGTCTTCGGATATGAAACATAAAGTTAGGATGGACATGAAATATTTCGGAAGCCTTATTTCAAACACGAAGGCTTTCGAACAGTAGACAACCCGAACCCATTGTAGCAAGTCTTGCCTATGAAGCAACTCCTTAAAATGGGCTGCAAGAGCTGTGAGTTAATTTGGATGGAGAAGAGTGGTGGAACAAACAAGCTAACATCAGCCCCCCTGCAGACTCCATCCTTAAAGGTCGCAGCAGCAACGACTAAAGAATGTCTGATTTGCCGGATTCCACACAAACAAATTTTGTGAATCAAAGCTAGCTCAGCAGACGTCTAGTACCTAGATGATCCGATACATCGTAAAGTGAAAAAAGAGAGCAAGCAAAGACTTCATAAATTAACATTCTGCGCGAGTTGGGTGCCTCAAGTTCTTCCCTTCCATCATTGGCTACAAGTTATACAGAACTCGAATTTAATCGATACTAAGAGCTACCTTATGGAATTTAAAGTGTTCCTTTTTTGTTATCTTTTCGGTAAGTTAAAACTGAGGCTTTACCCAAAAAACATGCGTGTATACCTAATAAATCCCTGCGGGAAAAGATTCCCTCTGGCTAAAAGCCCCCTCTGTAGGGTTCCGAATGGTAGTGAAACAAAACGATGCTTGTTTGGGGTAGCTGTGTGGCACTCCAGTGAGTGCGTGGTACGGGCACGAAGTCCTCTCGAGGGTGTAAATCAAGTGGCTCACACACACGCAAGCACTGACGCACGTGCCTCTCTTATCGCGGCATCTTCCCTGCGCCACTATTAGCAGGGCAGTTGGGCTGAGCCAAGAGACTATCCCACGAAGGAGCGCTATCATTCCACTAAGGAAGGTGTGCCGAGTGAAGATATGGCCTTAGTGGAGTACTTTTGGATGCAGTGATAAGGGTAAAGTAGTAGAACAAGATAGTGGATTTAGACTTGGCGATTTCCAGAATGTGCATTTCATTGAGTCGATATGCAGGAGGAATCACGTTGATTCTAATACCGAAATGTTACCTGTCAAAAACGCATGCTTGTAAATTAAAATGAAAATAAAGAACAGTTTGCGGTGGAGATCACGTCACGTAAAAAAGACTGAAAATTGTTCCCCAAATCAATTCTTGCTGAAATTGTAAGGACTAAATTGCCCTTACCATGCTCCTTCAGTAGTAGATTTGAATTCAGTTTCAAAGAACACTTTTATAGCAACAGTTGTAAGTCCTGTCTATTTGGATTTAATTAGAGGAAAGTCATTTGCACTTTGAGGCCATTTCTCAATCAATCACTCTTTCCAGATGCTCAGCAAATCATTACCAGGTCAGAAAGAACATAATAGGAGGGAAATACTTTTTGAGGCCCGACACGTACGCCAAGTCATTATGGTAAGTTAGAAGACAAAGAACCAAACAGCAACTCTTCGACTGACGAAGCAAACTTGCACTTGACTGTTGACTTGAAGTCAGACTTACTGTTGACGTAATCATTGGCGTAATCATGAGATGCTTTCTGAACGCTTGGTAGCCATAGCCATTAATCACACAAATAAACCTTTTATTTAAAATTGCAAATTTTGAATCGCAAGTCAAATTGAAATATTACAAATTGGCGTTAATCATCCTCCTTGCATATTTCCAATGTCAGTTTTTCGAGTCGTAAATGGCGCCCAAATTATATGTCAATGATTACGTCAACAGTAAGTCTGACTTCAAGTCAACAGTCAAGTGCAAGTTTGCTTCGTCAGTCAAAGAGTTGCTGTTTGGTCCTTTGTCTTCTAACTTACCATAATGACTTGGCGTACGTGTCGGGCCTCAAAAAGTATTTCCCTCCTGCTATGTTCTTTCTGACCTGGTAATGTAAAGTTGGTGAATTTTAAAGCAACCTTCATACTTTTTAGGCCATAGCCAATAGGTTGCAGCTTTTTGGATTATCAGTATTTGACCGACAACTTATGTCGCATTGATAAACTGTGAGGTGTAAGAACCACCATCTGATTGCTAACAGGTTTTAGAAGTATATGGCACTAACTATAAAAATTTGTAAAAAAATCTTATATATTAATTATTGAATAAGCACTTAAACTCAAGAGGGAAATTCAGCCAAGGAATGTCAAATAGATTAGTGGTCAGGGAGTACAAAGAATCGCTTTTATTTGTAGTAATTTATCACTACGCTCCATTCGGATGTACAACCTCCTTATATAGTTTTAGAAACGATTCAACTAGTTTTTGTTTATCGTGTTGATGAACATTACTGTTTGTCGACACTGATAAATACACAGATCCAATAAAAGTAACTCGTAAAGCATCACTTGCAACGAAATCTCCACATTGACAGATTAATTGTAACTGATTTCATCCAACCGATTGCGGAATCGTTGGCGCCCAGGACAAAAATCTTACTTCGTGGACCAATTCAGAACATAATTGGGAATTTTTGTTAGATGGCGTCACAGATGAGTCTGGTACCGAACAACTAGGCAAGTTCATGCTACTACCCCCTCAATGGACATTTTGACGGGATTTGAAATCGAGAAGTGAACTCGGGTTATAGATTCCAGATAGTTTGAAATCTGGCGATTCCACAAACGTATTACCCACAAATTTGTTAAGGCCTGTTTTGACGCAACGCTGCTAACCAGACGCACAAATAATTCTAAGTGCAAGTAGGAATTACACGATTCCTGGTAGGTCTTGAAACTGACCACTTGAGAAATTTTGCATTTTTATGGCCGTTTCATGGTGGGAGAAAAACTACTGTGGCAAGGAGGGCGCATAATCGTTCACTAGACTCGCATAAATTGATCAGTTGTGGACGTGGATGGAGAGTCAAAGAACGTCCATGGTGGTTTTTAAGAAAGAGACTTCGGGTGCTACACTGAGCAGACAAGCAGCCAGTTCACAAAACTGAAGATAAGCTCCTCTAGTTAGTGTTGCCTTACAATGCCTGCATCAAGTTCATCTGCCTCGTTGAGTCCATTCTACTCCAGAGCTAAACATTTCAGGCATAAAGTGGAATGAGGACCGCCAAAGGTAGCCAGTCTTATTGAGCACTACCTGAGGTTTCAAACCAATGTGAAGGATGCGGTTCTGTTGAATGGTTTGTCTCCCTTTTTATGATTAACTCTCTGCAGTTCTACCTACCATTAGATTACATGACTATGAAACATTTGAATACTGTTTCGATGCATGGTTCTTAGCTAGGGACTTTAGGCTCAAGAAGGTCACGTTTATTACTGTCGATACCGTAAATACAAAAAACAAAAATTGTGCTCATTGCTACCAAAAAACTGACATCCTGTTACACGTGGGTATGAACGGAGCCAGATGCTTCGACTCTGCCTACTCTTGAAATGCATAACACTCATGACAATCCAATTCATCAGGTTTAATGTGGACGATAAAGCTATTGCCGGCAATCATGACCACTACATGGCTCAGTTGTATAAAAGTCTGTTTAGTAACCATCACTACTGCCTGTAAAATCCACATGAGACGAGATCAATTTAAAGTCATTCTCAATGAATTCAGGTTTACAAAAAAAAGAATAACATAATTCATATTTTAAAATTAAGTTGAGAAAAGTACTGAGAAGGCCGATGTGGTTAAAAAGAATGCATTCGGTAGGCATTAACATTGTAACGTTTGTGGACGGCGGTGATGCATCGATTTGCGAGGTGTGGTTACGCTTGTGTGGATACCTTTTGTTCAAGGGCAACAATGCGTGCGCCAACGCTCCCTCCAACTGGTTTCTGGACGTGAAAATCTGGGCGAATTCACCACAAAGTAACAAGTACTTTAAATTCCTTTATTAGTCCAGTTTTTAAACTGGTGCTCGTATTTATTCATTTGCTTTTAACGCCGTGGGCTCAAAATAAGCTTTGGCACTATTTATTAAAGGATATTAGCAAACAAACGCATCTAACAGGCGTCTCTATCGTCCAGGTTAAGGAAATTGTCTGTTATTATCACGGTGGCGGTTACTCAAATCTCACCAGACACGGAAGTAAGAGCGTTGAGAAAAACGGAAAAAATGTAAGAGAGAAGCCTTAATGCCTCGACTTCTGGAGTTCGAAACCGTAAGCAATGTGTTAAACTTTATTATTAGCCAACATTGGCATTAAACTATTTCAGAGATCCTTGAAAATTGTCTACCATACAGGATTTTAATGTTCCTATTCTAAATGAAAAACCAATGAAGTGTGTTCAGGGCTCACCAAATATTGTCAAGTACAATTAATCTTCTCTAATATGAGCTGCCGAGATAATTGGGGCCTGAGATCTTACGAATTAACAGTGAAAATCTATAAAGTAACCTTCATCATTAGGTCGAATACCCGCAAGTCAACTTTGTGACCAAACAAACTGAGCGCGTCCTCTGGCCATAAAAGTGCAGACACAGCCACTCAGCCGCAGGTTGGGCTCCGTGGTTTGCTGTGATTCTGAATCTGCTTCAAAACAGCAATTTTTTTGATTTTACACGTGCAAGCAAAAATAAGAATTGAAGATTAAGAATACAAGCATACGAATTAATTTACATGGCGTAAAATAGCAAATCGAGGCAGATATGTGGTGAAATTGAAGGCCGTCAATGCGACTGCGTTGTCCAGAAGATGGCGAAATCAGCCTCCTTCTTGCTCGGTCGGCTTCAGCACCCACACACATCCCGGGTCTGAGCGCGATGCGGACGTCGTCTTCCCTCCCCGTGGCGTCCACCACAGCTTGATCAGGGTGCCAAGCTTGCAGCCACAGGCTTTAACCCGCAACACTATTGGGGTACGTAAGCTGCTAAAAATAGCGCTCACTTTAGAGTGACCCACTAACCGAAACAGAGGGAGCGTATTGCAAAGTGATACTGCTTTTTGGCGGTCACCCAATCAATCAGTCACGTGAACCTTAGTTATGTGGGTTTGCTGAGGCACTCGCTACCGCAGCTTTCAAGGGTTACACATAAACCCAGGTAACTGATTGCTTGTAAAGATATTCCTACTTGATCGGTTCTAAAAAAGGATCCACATTTGAGCACACGACCGCTTCTAGAGAAGCAAGCGGTCCACATTCGCTAGTTAAACGCCAGATTTAAGTTTTAAATTACAGATAAATCAGTCTGATTCCACGAAATTCCCCGCGGTAACTCGTTGCGGCTATGGTCGCCTAATCGACATCGTTAGAGTGAAGCTTTGATTGGCAGCCGAAGTGACGTTTATTCTTAGTGGATGAGCGCATACTCGGTTGCGGCCCATGATAGGGAGGCAAGGGGTGCTAAGAAAATTCATAGTTTTGGGGCTAGCCCTCACCCCCAGGTTACGGCTACCCAAGGGCCTCACCAACTTCGAACATATACAACTACCAATGAGTAGCCTCTTTATAAGTTAATGCACTGATTAAGTTCCACTCATTTGGGATGTCAGGTTCCCGGCGATAATAAAGTTGATCTTCAGATGCGTATTCACAAGCCGAGTTGCGGACCTCAATCGTCTTTATGGACTGACCACCTGTGTTTTAATAAGCCACTCATAGGCAGTTTACCTAACATTTCGTATTGTAAATTTCAATTCGGTTGACTACTTTGTTGCTCAAATGTTAAGTTTTAAGCATCAATGAGACGACCAGCAATATTGCACTTCCTAGTTAAAAGGGGTCACTCGTGATTTAAATCGATTAACGCCAAACAAGAATTACCAGAGCAAGGTTTGACAAAATTCCTGGAAGAAGGACCTCTTGAGTCTGTCTGGCGTTGAAACAAAATTATATTTTCTTTCTTAGGAAACACAATACAGAATCGGTCTTTGCCAATGTGGTTCCAAAGCCTATCTAGGCCCCAAAAAAGTTAAAAATCCAAACAAACACGTTTAATTTCTTTGATCATATTTTGGTGATAGCATAATTGGTGAAAAAAGAGAAATACTACTGGTAAATTGGTCACAATTCAAACTGCAGAACAAGTCCAGCATAGCAAGTGCTTCTGAATGACTTTAACTGGACACTACATAGTAGCTCAACCTGCAAGACGCTAGATAATCTCTCTTCCCATGCTACTTTTATGTGAGTTCAACACGTGGAGGACCTAGCTGGATGGACTTATCCTTAGAAAACACGATCCCACCAGTTGATATACATTCTATTGATATCTAGGTAGTAGTCGTTTTTTAAAAGCTTTAGATGTCAATGCCCATCTAAAACTAATAAGTTGCCCGTTCAAAGTCTGAACGAAACAAAAAGAGCCAACACAGAAACGACGAATGTGGAAGAAAGTTCCACAGACAAATGATTCTGAGCAACGGACTATCCACCAAATTATAGCCAGGTTAAAAGGAAATTACGGTTTGCGAAAGTATTTCTTCAAATCAAGCTATCAGAAACGCATTGCAAATAAACATAAATTATTGAGTTTTTTTGTTATCAACCTCCTCTTCGTGCTTGCTCTTCTGGTCCAAATACGGTGACCTCCAATAATAGACAATTTGAAATGAAAGCACAAGATTAACAAGAGAACTAGCGACAAAGTTGAGAACGACGAGCATATCACCAGTCTCCTGGACTGAAGTGAAGATACGAGCAAGTGAGCCAACGGTCATTAGCCAAACGGAAATCGCCGATAGCTGTCCAGTGCTGCCATTGCGAAAGTTTGCAAAAATCTGAAGTCCCTAAGGAGGGGAAATTTTGAAGGTTAATAATTCTGTTATGTTTTGTGAAGCTTACCCTCGAGAATAGAATGACGGGAGTATTCGCCATCTGCATTAAAATAAGGAATGAAAGGTTGATTGCAGGTGACATGGCGTATGCGGCGAAACACGCACAAAAGCTCAAAAAGATCATGCCACAGAGATAAGAAATTTCCCATGATATGGTCAAAAAGCTGATCACTGTGGTCTGTGCCGCCAGAAATGTAGCATCTCCATAGGTGCTGAAATAAAAATGTAAAGGTATCAGACATATTAAGGACAAATAACCAAAGTAAGCAAATTACCTGAATGGAAACTTGTGGTAAAAAGAATAGGAACTGGTTGCAGCGTAACATGCAAGTTCTAGGAGACCGGCAGGGATGCTCAATCCTTTTGCGCTGCCAGTTTTTAAAATTTTGACGATCTGAGGAAGTTTTACTTGATGAGGTAAGAAAGAAATGACGAAAACTTACCAAGCGCAGAACCTAACACAATTCCATACCCCAAGCATTTGCTTAGAAGGAATTTAAAGCAAGCAACTAGACAATAAGGTAGAACATTGTTACATACCATTAAATAAGTCACTGCCACTTATATACTTTCGAACGCATTCTTCAGGTACCAAAAAGGAGAGCGCCGCAGCCACGAGGCCCTCCATAGTCACTGATGTGGCGTCGGATTAGGGCGCAGACATGTTGGACCACCAGGCCTCAGCCAATCCTGTGTCTCTCTGTGTTCCAATGGCATGCGAGAAAGAAAAGCAGTAGACCAAAGAAGGACACAACTGAGGTGCAGTATATAATGAGCGGTATGGCCAGCGCGGTGGACTCGGATGGAAGGCGCCTGACGCGTGGCTCTGGCTTCTGATTGGTCAATAAAGCCTGTTCTGTTGTACCAGTTTTTTTTCCTATTAAGGCTCGGGTATTCTACAGTCGTATCGTTGAAGGGCGCCGACATGTTAACTATAGCCAAGCTGTGCCAATGCCCTCTGTAAGTGCGTTTAAATGGCCCATGTTGATAATCAAGCGCTAGTTTGAGACTAAGATGGATACGAGGTTATATTCATTGTATAATGCAGCCACTTTGAAGGACTTTGGTGGGCAGCATCAGGCGTCAGTTTAGGCGTTTCGTTGATCAATAAAGTCTGGTCTGTCATCCTTAAATTAATGTTCGGGCATACTACATTGGTGGCAGCGGATGTGTACTGTTAACGCGAATCAAAACTTAGCCCACCACCTTTTCTATTTGCAATAGCAGTGGTAAAGACCCATTAAACTTATTCACCGCTTGTCACAGCAGTCCATTCGATGTTCCACATAATTGTCTCTTTTGACATTGCTCGGAATTAGGAACATTGCATCAATTTGGCATGGATGTCAAGTCTATTAGCGTAAAGTACCCAAGACCTAGTATAGAGAGGGCATGTATAACAAAGTACGATCTATTAACCAATCAAAACTGTTTGACAGTCGGTGTCCATCAGAGTCCACTATAATGGTCATTTCAATAATTATTACTGATCCTCGCTCATTCCTGTCTCAGGTCGGCCACTAGTATTCTTTGTGCGTACACAAAGATGGAGGATTGGCTGGGATCGGTGCGATCCGATTTGTTTTCGCCACAGAACAGAACTGGTCAGTTTTCCATGATTTGTAAGTTTCAGGCACATAGTGAGAACAAGAGTGGAAAACAAGAGGAATAAATTAACTTAAAAACAAAGGACTGCAATAGTCTATGACAGATTTATAGTGATAAAGAGACATATATATACCCTCGTCCAGACTGCCTTTCTTTCTTGTTACTATTTTAGTCTACCCTGCAATGGTGACAGACAACTCCTTTGTAGATTAAATTCCAGTACTTTGCGCTAATCAATGCCTTTATGGCACCACGAAAGCCCAAGTCAAGCCATCGGTCAGATGAAGTTGCATTCATGGCTTGTTGTCCGCCCCCTACGAATGCTTGAGTGCCACATTGGCGACAAACGGCCACGTCGCTACGGATTAAGTTGTTTGTGAGGAAGACCACCAGTTAATATGAGTTGCGAATGAATGAAAACGCTACCTGATACAACATGCAGCTAGAATGTAAGTCTGCAATAAAAAACCCGTCTTAATCATTCTACACTCAGGCACTGCAGAAAGATTATTTGAGTCTCTGGGGCCCAGCTGCCTTCAACTGTATTGATGTGGCAGCATGTAGAGTTGAAAAATCCAATTCAAAATTTATTACGAAAGCAAACCGCAAATATCCTTGTTGTCTTCTTTACCATCAAATATCATCACATGTTCAAATGACTTATAAATATAGGTAGTAAACGGGTAAATTTGTAATTTCTTACAATGTAAATTTAAGAAGTCCCGATGTCTTCATCGAGACTCTAAAATATGGGGAAGATATGTAGAACAAGATGTAATTTAATGCCAAAATGCTTACATTAACCAAAACATATCACAAATTTAGTTATTAAGCAACAATTAATAAATTAAATAAAGTATTGCGTGTTTAAATAATGCCTGTGAATACTTGACCAGCGGTTTCAATATTTTGATTATGATTTTAGAACTTTTGGAAAAAATTGTTTGCTGAAATAAATTTCAGACGAAGTGTAGCATATTATAACTCCGCATTTACCACTAAGTTTAATATGTCAGCAGAATTCGGTTCCGCCTGTGAAAAGTTTACATTTACCAATGAATAGTTTCAAATTTCTAGTGTAGTACATGTTGTTATTCTGTTTTATTAGCATCAACGGTATTTTAAATTAACAGCCGCTTCTGTGTGATGTGCGTAACAATTGCAGATTGCTATTTCGAAAGCATAGCGATCCATTTTATTTAAATAAAGAAAGTTTTTGTACGTGGTTTGATGGAATTCAAATCATTTCCACGACTACATCCTGCATCTACTATAGATAAACATTTTGAATCAAGTGTAATAAATCATAAATTGTTCTAAATTGTCAGTTAAGAGACGTTCCAAAGTTTACGTGCTTTTTGCGTTTTAAATCTGTTAACTTGATTAAAATAAAATTGAAGCAATTAGTAAATTTTAAAATAAACAAAATTTTATTAACACATACAATGTACAATTTAAGAAGTTCATATTTCTGCACTTACGTGCTCAACGTTCTCCTTTTGTTTTATTGACCGTTTTAGTAGTTTTACTGAGCTACCACAACGAAAGTTAACCTTAGTTGTAACTTTGGATCTTCTAACTTTGTATTTCATGCACACACTTGAAAGTGGTTTTGGAATACTATGAACACTGTGAGCTACTCTTATGTAAAGGCAAACTTTATAAAGGCAGCTAAAGTAAGTGCTATACTGTTGCTTAATTTTCATAATAATTGCTGCACTTTGATTAGGCACTCTGAATATTTTTAGCAAAGGTCATATAAGCTGGTTAAATTTTTTAAACTTAAAAGTGGTCTAAGGCAAGTTCAGATGCTTTCAAAATGCTAGTGTCTTTTAAATTCTGTGCAGTGTACATAACATCTTTCTAAGCTCATATCTTTTAGGAACGAGGCTACTATAAAGTTTAATTATTATCGATTCCTTGCTAAGCGTGTTAGGTAACTTTATATAATGGAGTTAACAACGCATCCCTTTATGTTGCAAATGATTTGATCCTGATAAGTTAGGCGTACAGACAATTTCGACTTGCTGGTTTTTCTGATTTTTCGTCTAAATGTAACACTTTTCAAGTCCTTTGAAGTTAGGGTCATAAATCTGCTAAATACAGTTTAGAGTATAAATTTTATTTTTTTTTAAATTATTTGTACTGGTATGCATTAACAAACTAAGACACAGCTTAATGCAATCCTTACCAGACTATATTCAATTATTTGAATCAAGTGTTTTAACAGTAGGACACTTTTATTACTTTTTACCGAATTATGGTTTTGATACTAAACTTTAAAATAGCTTAAGGCTAGACCATCTATTGATTATTTATCTGATATTATATTTATTTGTACTCATATTTTTAAAAATAAATCATTGCCACGTGATTCATACTGGGAAAACGCAAACCACATTTTCTGTTTCCATGATAAGGAATTTGTTTTGTACAATGACACAGTTATAAATAAATGTAAGTTGGAGTCGTATTATCCCTTGAGTATATAAGGTGTTTAAGAAGTTAATGATGGACAAACTCTGGGCCAGGTTACAGTGAAAACGGTGGAGAGCTCAGTGGTGGAAAACGTAACTGCGATTTTAAGCTGAAGATCTGGCCTTTTTGGTTAGCTTTCAAAGGATTCAAAGTATTCTGTCTAAAATATGTATCCTCATTTTTTCTTAAACTTAATTTCGAGATGTATTTCAACACACTCAAATTAAAAGCTTGTCATATGCTTTCAAGCGTAGTACACCCCATAGAAGGTTATTTAATTAGTATGCGCCTGCTATTATAATTTTTTGAAATGCAACGAAACGAAACGAATTTTAGTGGCACTTAATTTGTTTGAGATCATTGTGGTGTCCTCAAATTTGGCTTGAACTACCAGAATCGATTACTAATCCCTCGTAAAAGAGCTTCAGTAAGCTAATATGGACATATATACATTGCAAACGCAACCAAACATACATTGGGGGTCTAATTTTGTAGCTGTGCGTTTACGCAATTTTCCAATCACTATCTTAAGGAGCTGAAGTTATATTATAGGTTTGAAATCAGCTTTTAAAAGTGATGCGTCTTCATCCACATATAGTATACGGGTGCCATGTGTTTTCACAAACTAATGTTCAACTGCAGGCTTAGAGCGAAGGTAATTTATTTTTATCTTTTAGTTATGTGCTCAGATAATTTTTGTTAAACTCCATTCATAGATATTTGACTTATTAGGTATTTCCAGTTCTCCTTAGAGGCGATAACAAGGAAAGTCTTACATTTCTTCCTTGTAATTTTGTTCTAAGTAATTTTCATTGGAAAAAATCTATTACTGTTAATATCTTGGCAAGTAGTTGTTAGCACCATGTTTTAATGAAACCATCATGGTGTGATTCAGGGTCCCTAACGGAACCTGGACCTCGAATACCGATTGCAGTCTAAAATTTGCAAAATCGTCCTTAGAAGACTTGGTCAGTTTGTAGGAATCTATGATGACTATTTTTAGCACAATGACTCGTATCGTTTAAAATGCTCATACATCGGAAATCGAAAAGAGAGATGCGCTGTAATTGTATATCGGTTTTGTTGGTTTTTCGTATATTCCTTTTGGGACGGCTGAATTAACGTAGACGACTAAGTTACACGGAAGAATAAATTCCATATTAGAAAGTACAAGCCATAGACATTTTATTTTTTTGCTATGGCATAGAAATGTTGTGTTTTAGATCATAATACAAATTTTTTCGCTCACTCAGTTGTGCACATTTCAAGATTAAAATAATAAATGTATTTATGGAAGGTGAAGACCAACAGGACTACTTGCTGCTATCAAGTAGACAACCGAACATGTAGAGTCGCAACCAATTCTACCATACTTTAAAATTTTTCATCATTTCCTCATTCTGAAAATTATGACTTTGAGTTATTGCTACAAGTACGTCAGCAGCCTTCTACAATTTTTGCATTTCTCTTGATACCTAATGACCGTTGGGATCCAGAACATTTGACGAAAAGCCACAAAATTCTCAGTGCTTGATAGGAAAGTGACAGGTCTATAATTTAGATTGTGCTGGGATACACTTCAACATATTTTCACGAATTTTAATATTTTGCTTGTAGGAAAATTGGGTTCCCTGTGAAGTTCGTCTCTTAACGGATGATGTAGACACTTTTCTTTGCATAAAATCCCGTGCAGTGGGACTTGGTCAGACGGAAGAGGACTTGAAAAGCATTTTTTCGGGACTTTCCGCTACCGGAACCATTTCGAGCTCAAACGCTTCGCCTCAGCCTCCGTCGGGTGGGCAGGTTCCACGTTCGTTCACAGCCCTCTGCAACCTCTCAGAGTACAAGTCTTGTACTGTTGTGACAGTGTCAGTAAACGAAACAGGACATTTTGCACTGAAACTTGTGCCCGCTGGCATTTTCGGGAATAAACGCCTTTATCTCGCAATGTCAAGCGAGACAGAAGCGACTACGTGGATGTCAATGATCAAGGCAGGTCTTGGAAAAAAGAAGAAATCATCCAGGAACCCTTTGACACAATCGCGAGACTCACTGTCGGGGGCTCTTCGGACGTCCAGCAGTCAGGACACCCTTCGTGCAGATCCGACTACAAACTCTGATGGTCGATATGACCTTGACATCGACACAATCGATAACGAGGTGTATGAGCCTTGCTCATCACGTGAGTGGAACGCTTAGGCTAGCAGATTCTCAAGCCTTTTGCAGATTATCGGCTCGAGAACCCAAATGTTTACGTTTAGTTGTTGATTTATAAACTACACGTGGACGCATCAGGACTAAACAAAAGTATGGCTAATTAGTCACTCTCCGACAGTCTTAATTACCCTTTAGTCATATGTGGAAAAAAATCTGAAGTACCATAGGGCTGCTGAAAAGCAGAACACAGTTTATGCGTGGCCGCTTAAGGAACCATTAAGCTACGCCAACATAAACCATTACTATTTAATTACTCTGGATCATCGTTTCTAAGCGTGGCCAAATGTCCCGGCTGGCGACCCATGACGAAGCTGCAAAGTTAGCAACCAGAAACAACTTCATCATAAAAGTCGATTTCCGCCTTAATGCTGGCATAAAGGCATAAAGTCTAAGAGACAGGTATTTAGCATTAGATTGTTGCGCCATCAGTCACCGTCTCTAGGCAAGAAGTTCTAATGAGACGCAAACGCTTGCAGTTTTTTTCACCAATATGATGAAGCCTCCTTCGATCCTTCTGGGATTAATGTGCATTGGTAACGTGTCATGGCGGAGTTTGCCTCTGGGATTTTAGTCGGCGAATGAAAGATATGTGTGAATCCTAAACGCATGAAAGGCGCTCGTGTACTTTCACTGTCATTTGATTTGTTGTCGTATTGTATTTATTTAACCCAAGCTATGGAGCAACTGAGCTATAAACAAGGAGCTTCTAAAGCAAAAAAAGGGAAAATTAGACCTTTTGATGAGAGAAGGAGTGCCATTTAATAATATTTTTGTCTTACTAGACAAGAGTAGAGGGAACCGCCTCCACTACTGAATGCAGTTAAAGAATAACAATGTTTAAAAGACCCAAAACATATGCTTTGTATTTCTTAGCTGTTCAAACAATGGTTTGTTTTGACAAGACTATTTTTGTATTATTTCCTAATACTGGCTGATTAGAAGTTGTGGTGGAAAGGGCTTGGTTGATCTCTTCAAAAGTTACAGTCATTAGTGTTGTTAATTGGCACTGCGTAAGTTGTCCTACACGTTGCATATTTTTGCCCTTTGTACCTGTATTATAATGAGCGTAGTCTGCTTCTTCGATAGCTGGTGCGTGATGAATCATTAATTTACAATTGGACCATTATCAAATAAATGGTTGTGCACGAAAGCACTGGGATGCAACAAAGATATGGGTCGAAAAATTGGATCAGGTTTTTGTCAACCTTGGTATACATTACGGGTGGCAGCAACAGCAGCAGCATCCTTCATAAAATCATTTATTGGCTAGGTTGGGTTTAATTAAGCATTGTGTTACAGCTTCTGATCTCTTCCTTCTAGAGGATCTCATACCAGCAGTTGTGCAGCAGCGTGGGGACTGGGATAAGCTGCGTCTGTCAAAGTTGGATTGTTTCCTTCGCCTTTCCGATGATCGTTTGGAGTTACTCGATAGCAACGGTGAACGCGTCCTCCATTGGTTTCCGTATCTACTTATTCGACGGTAAGTTTGATTGAGGTTTTCGTTCTGGAAATTGATCACAAATGGTCAGTGCCCATAGTATTTATGCAGCGTTCACATTCAAACCGAAAACTGATATTTCTAAGCCATCTTTTTTCTTGCTCTTTACAGGAATTTAATGAATGTTGCATTAAGTTTTTAAATACTAGTGAACAGTCTCTCCAGGTATCACTTTTGGCAAAGTTACTTTATAAGTTAGGACCACGGGCTGGAAATTGACATCTTGCCTTTGGTAATAGTGTCCCCTGAGACTAGTGGAAACATCAAAACCAAAGTAATTGCATGTCGTAGTGTTTTGCGAAAAACCTAAGGAAGGGATGATTCGTGTTTAGTTAAAAACTTTAAGTCAAGTAAAATTAAAATAATTTGAGCTTCACTGAAATGAGAACTGTGATGAACTATCCCAATTGTGTCTGTGCACACTGATTTTAGCTTCTAGACCCGAACCTGGACCTCGTTCGTGGGGTCAGCGAGATCCTTTGTCCCCATAGAAAGCACCTGTGCAGCTCTAACTGGGTACGTACTTGAATGCGGTTGGCACCGGGCCTTGAGAATGTGGGGCTAATCACAAACCGAATCGTTGTGAACCCGCGAGAAGCATTCGAAATCAAAAGCCGTTTATCGCATTGGATTTTCCGCATGAGATGTAGCTATTGGCGCATATGGGTTAAGTTCGTTATGGCAATGGACAAAATCAAACGCAATCAACAGTTGTTTTTTTCTCAGTTTGGTTCTGTGCTTTTGACAAAATTTTGCAAGTTCATGCAAATCGGAAGAGCTAAATTAGCTCATGCTAGATTATTTCACTATTCTTTTAGTCAATTTTGATAAAATAACCATAGTGTTGACTCCATGGCACCACGGTCTCTGAAACCGACTTCTGGTATCCTTGTCGTTTACGCTGAGAATATTTCTGACTGGTACTTATTTTGTTTTCCCACATACTAAAGGCCCCGCTTTTCCCAGTAAACCGTGAGAAGAGTTTTTTGTGTTATCAGCCTATACATGTCTTCGCAGAACTTTCGCACTCGTCAGTCAAAGATATAAGCTAACCGATTCGCAAGCGTTTATTAATGGCCTGATCAACTTGTTTTGCGGATACTAACGGTGGTAAACCCTCAGTCTTTAAATAAGAGCTGTTTGTCCCATTCGAAAATTTACGAGCAGAATCGAATGCCCAACGCCCGTCTTGTTTTCCACTTTCCTCCACATGCAGAGCTGCATCGGTCTTTGAGCGCAGCCAACTTGATTCGCACACTGATTCATGATTTTGGAGGGTGCATGCGGGGAGCCAATGGCTTGTCAATGCGTGTGAGTTTGCAATTTACCGGAGTTTTATTCTAGTTGACTCCTGCAAGAAAGCACGGGCATCACACAAGGCATCATTTGACAACAGTGGTGGTTTTAGCGGTGACGCTGATGCAGCAGGATGGTTAGCACAGGATAGCATCGCGTTTAGGTATCATGTTTAAAATACTTTCGAGAGGCGCTGGGGTCAGCTTATTTCCATTATCCTCTTTCAAAAATACACTAGGCCACCCGCCAAATTTCAGGATTATAATACGATACAGTCTAAACTAAGAAATTCTGCTATTCAAACTTTCGATATTTGAAGCTGATTTACATGATTTGACGTGCCATAAAAGTCCTCTAAAAGTGTACTTATGCATGAGATGTAAACCTGTCTGCAGCAAATGAAATTGCCGCGTCAATAAGCAATATTAAGGAATCTCTAACCTGAACTTTTAGGCTATTTCAGTGCTACACTAACTTTGCAATTTCAAGGTTTGTTCGTTAATATGAATGTCTAAGCACACAAAACCAGAACACGTCGGGTTCATCAATGGCTTGAAACTGCATGACTACGTTGATATATTCACAGATAACCCCTTAGTAATTGGATCCCAAACATTACAAGTTAAGTTATGCATTTCATTTGTACCTAACGAATGCCAGTCATGATTTTTTATAAAGGTATGCTGTTCAGAGAGTAGATTTGTTTTCCCATGTACGATCTGAAGGTGGCTTCGCTTGCAAGAATATACGAGTGCTGGTTAACAAGAAAGTTGTATATATAGAAGCATTTTGGAAACATACACCAGACCCTTCAGCTATATTGTTGGCACATTTAGCTAAGTCTTCGTTTCCATAGAAAGTTCCCTTGATGTCGAAAACCTTGGCAACGAATCGCTAAACTACAAAGTAACGGCCGGTGCTATGAATAAAACATAAATGGCTGCTTTTTATTGCACTGTGCAGATAAGTTTAAAAGCGAAAAAAAACCATAGCTTGAGACTTTACCAGGAGTCAGACTGGCATTTTTTCGTTATGATATAGCTTTACACGTGTCTTGAGAAGACTAGCTCTTTCCGGCATACTGACTGCACTTTAAATGCAGTTTCACACGTCTTTCGATCGTGTGATGTTCGCGATTACAAGAAGCGCAGTTCCTGGAGAGTTTACTTCTCAGGTGATCACACAAATTTATTACTGGTGGTCGAGTCAGCAGCTTGCCTTGAATCGCATACCTGCACACATACATGCAAATCCTCAATTAGAAGTCCACATGAAGTAAATTGAGCTATTTTCCGACTTCCGTCAGTGGTCATTTCCATTACCTAGACCGTGTTGCAGTAACACAGCTTTAGCTAGGTATCATATGCTCATGCACACGTTTAGTACTTTTCTATTCCTTGTTCGGAGCAAATGCCATCTTAGTAGCAGTAAAGGTGGGTGGGAGGAGGGAGAAAGCGCTAATTGTTTTTACAGGTGGTCAGCTGCGGTGACGTAGAATGAAATCATCGGCGGAGCTGAGGGGCCGGTGTGAAGGCGACATGACAACGCAGAAACAAAAGTTTGTTAACCGCGTGGCCTTGGTGGTGTCCAATTGAGTTCGTGGATGGCGTGTTAATAGATATAATTAGTTGGTATCAATTTAAGTTGCAAGCCAGCAATGGACGACGACTGTGTAACAAATGTCGTATTGGCCGGATGAATTAGCAGGTAATTGGACGTTCTAATAATTAGTTGTTTTGATAGTCATCACCAGATTATCCTCAACAGGTCACATGCGCGCTAGCTACCACGTCTGATTTTCACACCGTGTTAGGCGCTCCTATTGTAAAATGCACATCTAGATTTTGGAAACCTTAGTAAAAAGTGACTCTGCGGGTACAAAGCAATGCTTTAAACAGAGCGTTTGGCCATATTTAGAAAAGGGATTTAAAAGCACACCCACAGCCTGGAGGACTTGATGTTGCGACAAACGTCCCAGAAAGGCGTGGCCCATTTCCCCAAGCATGGTCCCTTTCCGGCCACAGTATTACTAGAATGACTCACAACTAACTATTACGGAGGCTATAAAGGAAACACCACCCATGTGACCAAAATGTAAAATGAAGTCGATTTTTTAAACTCACATGCGGGCGTACACGGTACTTTATTCTATAACTTGTTATGTAGTGATGTACTTCAATTTCACCACAAATAGTTAGACACTATTTGTCTAAGCTGTGCGAAATCTTACGGCAGTTCTTCAACCGGTTTTCAAATAGTAAAATAGCCAAGTGCAAAACGTAGTAAAGTGGCACACAGGAGATTCGACATAATGCACCTGTGTCAACGAGGCACGGAGTTAACAAAGGAATTGATTTCGCTAAGTAAATAATGTAAGTATCAGGAGTAATACATTTAAAAATCTTGATTACTTCGTCTACAAATGAAATCATGCAGTTACAAAGCTGTGAATTGAACAAGAAATTCCTGATATATTTATGGATTAAGCATTACATTTTAGGAACACTTGGCAGTTTATCCCACATACACAATGGTTAAAACTTGAATTAGTTGATACAGGCGTAGCGCAATTGTACTTCGTGCTCCAAATTTGATTTACCGGTCGTTGCATGAGGTCATTCCGAGGTTATCGTCACTGCTTAGCTGCATCGTCGTAAACGGCGTCGATTACGTTCCACATGGGTGCACCAAATCCAACCTAGAAGAACCTTGTTTAACAACGGAGAACTAGGCGGTAAATTGAACTAGTGCAATTTCAAGGTGGAACATTTTGATGGTCTTGAAGAAGAGTACATACGGGTTCCTCGAATGGCTAAGTGACTGAAATCCTCTTGATTAGCGCCTGGATTTTGTCTGTGGACATTGACTTGTTGTTTGCTGGCTATTCTGTTAGTCTAGAGAAAAGGAATGTCCAAACTTTCGATGTTTGTGGAATTCACATTTCGGTCCTTGCCTGAGAACCACATGGCAAAGTGATGCACAGTAAGCATCCTTCAGTGAACACTTTGTCTTCTCAAAGGCCAAACTGAGACATTGCTCTAATTTGAAATGTTGGCCTTTTTCAGCATCTCGTAAATTGGATTCCTCAGCCAGATCTGACATATTCTAAAGCCTACATATGTAATAATTCGTGCAACTAGTCAGTACAAAATAGTATTTTTAAAAGCTAATAGACCGAGAACTTAGTGCTAACAAATGAAATGCAGGGTCGGCTGGTGTTGGTGGCGCATGGTCGCTTCCAAGGAAAGTGGTTAATTTGACATTAAACGGCGAAAGTTTGTGGTTTTACCTCACGCAAATGCGCTTTTAAAACTCTGCGCCTTTACCTACTCACTCCATTAATTTCACAATATTAGAAGCAACATCTGTCATGAGTCTAAATTCAGTAACACACGTAAGGAGTAACCAAGCCTGCATTTTGTGTGCGTTCTGGCTAGTCCACATTTGCGTGTCATAAGACTCAACCAATCAGAGATGAGTCGCAGAAGCGTGTTCACATGCACTTAGAGCCATAGTTGCATGTCAGCACAAGGTAGGAATGGTTGAATTACATTGGCACAAGCCATGGGTTTGCTATCGACAATTTTAGACTTGAACCTGAGATTCATTCTGTTGCACTTCTATGCAACACAGATGTATCGACGTGCAAAATGTAATAATGAGTAGAAAACAGGTGCACCACTCCTCCGTTACTCAAGGACTGTCGTCTAAAGACAGAAACGCCGCTTTACAGTGTACATACTTAATTCTACTTATTTAATAGTGCCAGGCTCAATCTGCGTGAAAACTTAAATTCCATTCTGCCTTATTCTAGCCTTACAGGTGTTTGGGGAGCTGGGGTTAAGACCACTCTATTCCAAAACCTCGCAACTAGCCCATAAGAAATTCTTTGCCACAAACAATAACGTTAACCTATTTTATCCTTCAGCCCTGGATCGCTTACACGATACTTTTGGATAATCTAGATCTGATCTAAATGTGTTTTTGCATATATTCACTTGAAGGCTAACCACTTTTATTCAAGCAGTCCTGAACCTGTCGCCTATTCTTGGTGCGGAGGAGTACTTAAAAATTTATGCGGTTTATCACACATCTGGGAACTTCTAGGTCACGCTAGGGGAGGAAGATGGCTTGTGCTACTTAGTTTAAACTCTTGCTTATCAAGGCGTTAATTTAAACGTGTTCTGGGAAAAGTGCTGTTTCGCCTAATGTGTTTATGCTCTCCAGAGTAGGTTAAATCAGCAACACTATAATTTTACTTAATGAAAATTATCATCTCCCAAATAATTAGCTCATTCATTTGGTCTTCATTCTGAATTTCCACATGTTTTACAACAAAGCCGAAGGGTGAGCTTCAGTTTTATGGATCACCTCTAATGCGTAGTTCTACTGTTAATATTTCAAGTTGAGCACCGAGACGTTAACGTCCAGTCATTTGAGTTCTATAGCACTTTAGCATACGGTTTAAAGGTGCGGTGATGCCTAACTAGGCGCGCTGTTTTATTCCAAATGTGAAGAAAGTACATCTGAGTAAATATGCGTGGCATTCAATGCTTATAAGACCTTGTTAAATTCATAAGCATATGTCCGTGCTCTGAATTTTCGTGTATCGTCCGACCTACGAAGATAGCGAAGGGTCGAGAGGCCCCACTCCTTCCATGGCCTCTATTGCATTGGCCACTTCACGGGTGGCCTTCAATCAACCCAAGGCTGTGTTTGTGTGAATGACTGGACGACTTGTCCGACAAACGGGTGATGCTGTCCTCGTGTTTCTTGCGCGTGCCTGCACACGTTCAAAGTCCACGCCTAATTTACTTGTTCTCTTACTCGTGCCTGAGTCCAAATGCTGGCACGTGTTTTTCACCTTCATTTATGATTTGTGCGTTTCGTAGAAGCCGCTATTCTTGGTTGTTGGCTCCATCGTGAAAATTACGTGGCACAAATATACTTTTGAAGCGCAGCCAGCCGGATTGCTTCATGCCTTTAGTGCTGGAATATTGCTTTCGTCTATCAAGGAAGTGCGATTGGACCAGGATTAGAGCAAATCATTAAGGAACAGGAAAGTTAGCTAAAAACATCTTATTAATGGAACCAATACATTCAGAACGAGCGTTTACAGCCTAGAAATGTCCTGTGGATTTAACCAACAACTGTTTCATCCAGACTGATAAAGTCACTTTCCTGTAATCAGGAAATCAGTCGGTGCTAACCTGCTACTTGATATCTCAGCTGGTCTTCGACTTGGTGCTATGTAACTGTTATCCGAACTCAGTCATGCTACTTCGAGATCCCAACTAATTAGTCAGCGGGTGCTACGAAATTAAATATTACTACGAGACCAAGGTACCAAGTGATATAAAACAAATTTACTTGTAACCTTAAGGCCCCAAGGTCTACTAAAACACCAATTTTGAAGTGAACTCACACGCCTACTAAAGTAGTGCTGGCGGAACTTAAGGTCAGCACCTCCGTCTCTCCCTGAAAATTGCAACCACACGTCAGTGCCTGGGGTTACGCACTGTCGTTGGTTTAGCAAACGACGATGATGATGCCGCCGCTGTCACCGAATGTAGGCATGCTAGGTCAGGCTTACTTATCAAATTAAGCGAATAAGGAAGATAAGCATCGCTAATTGCTTGGTGCTCTTTTCACTTCTTACTGTTCCGCTGTGAAGATTAGACAAAGTCGTCCAAATTAACTTCTGAACAACGAACCCTGTAGCCCAAAAGGAGTAGTTTTGTTTATCACATGAAAGTCAACACGAGAAATGCATAATGTGGGGAAAACCTAATCACAGTACAACATTTCCAATTTTCATACACAATTTCTATGAGTTGACAAATCTGTAAGGATACATGAATGGTAAGTTGGGCATCATCCGTAACTTGGCTGCGGAATTTTCATTTAATGCACGTGATAGCCGTGAATTGAGACTCACTTAATTTTTTTTAGTATATAGATTAAATCACTTTAAGTTTAAATAACAACTCGCGAAGGGGAAGCAGGCACTGTTAAATGACTTAGATTGTTTTTAGACGAATAAGCAGTTTCTACTTAATTAAAATTAGACCTGGTGTTCGTAGTCAACTCAAGGCCTTGGCGGCATAGGTAAATTAATCGCGATAGAATACACGGTCTTACTACTTCTCGAAATGTTACACCTCTACATCTTGTTTTGATATCCTAGATGGCGCTGAGCCCATCGTTGTATAGTTAAAAGTGGAAAAATGATATGTAGCCCCCAAATCCACCATTTCATAAAGGTCGTCGCGTACCTCCACAAACTACCAGTTGTGCGGATAGGGGGAAACGGGAAAATCGGTGGAGCCGCAAGATATTTCTTCCCGGCTGATCCATTGTTGTATTTTATTCCTAAGCTAGCAACTATGATTAATTTGCAGATATGGATCAGAACTGGACCGATTTAATCCAAAGATGGGTGGCAAAACAAAATCGGTGATCACGTCGAAGAAGAGATTGGATGTCTAAAATAGGAAAACTGATTTCCTCTATAATATGGCTTTCTGTGTCGTTAAATTATGTCTCCATGCGTGTTAAATGTGCTTCTCAAATGTGATCGATGCAAGACTTTTTTGCACACTTGTTCATGGAGTGATAATCTCTTTTCTTTTGCTTCAGTTTCGGTGCTGTGGGAGGCGTTCTGCGTGTTGATGCTGGTCGTAGATGCTCCACCGGAGACGGACACTTCTTCTTCACCTGTTCCCCCAATAACGGCCAACCGGTGGATGCCATCGTCTCGCAGATTCGCCAGCTTGCTCTTGAGGCGAAACAGCGTTTGCGCCAAGAGCAAGCAGCACGACAGCATCTTCAACAGAATCGCCATAGTTTTACCTCTGAGACAGCGAGTTCAGGAGCTACCAGCATGCGCCCTCCTCCTATTCCTGCGAAAGGTTCCGCAGACTCCGGAAGCGGAAGTGCCAAATCCCTGACTAAACTGAGCGAAAGGAGTCCTAGTCCAAAGAATACATCCAAAAGCTCCAGCAATGACGCTGGCGGTAACTTTAAGAGAGCTTTATCCACCCCAGCAAGACAGCAGGTGGAAGAAGCACTTGAGAAAATTTTACCTCAAAAGGAGGAAGTACAGCAATGTTATACACCAAACAGTACAATGGGTTCAGGCGTCTCTTCCCTAAGGGCTTCTGAAAGGGTCAATGAAGAAAAAAACGGAGTATTTATTGCATCACCGGCAAGAGCGGTAAGTTTTAATGCATTTAATTGAGGAGCCAACTTATGCGCTGTTTGAAATGGGTACTAAATCGCTGTTTTTGGCAAAGTTAACCGCGAATGCAGCCAGTATTTTAGTAATTTTGCTGAAAATACCCATAAGAGTGGAATTCGGTTAGCTAAAATGGCTGCGGCTTCTATCAAAGTAACTTAAAGCAGTAAAGTAAGTACCAAGAGCAAAAAACACTGAAGAAGTGAAGCAGTTGCAGAAAAAAGGCCCCGAAACACTTCATGTCGTCGTCATCGCCCTCATCGTCATCATCATCTCCCTCAACAGGTCACGTAATGCTTTGAAGGTTCTTTGTGCACAACCCTCTTTTCTTTTTCATTGGCCTTCATCCGCCTTGATTTTGGCCTATTTCAGTTTCATGTAAAATTAACAAAAACATCACTTCTAGAGGTATTTTTAATCCAAATGTCAACAGAATAGATATTTGACGTAAATTAAAATTTCTAAGCCATGCTTCCTGGATCTACAATGAATGGAACGTAATCATACTAAGTCGTCTTAACATTTACGAAGTTCATGCAGCAACAACGCTAATTGTATGTGCAAAATTGTAATTATAATATGTTTAGTTTGGCTTAAGATACAGAAAGTGACATCCAAATTTTGCTCAGAGATTTCGTTACTGTGTGCAGAAAGCATTAGGCACATGGATTGCTACCTAAATTAGTATAGCAGATTAGACAGAATTCACTTCACAGAGGTGTGTAAAAACGTAATTTTTTCCGCTCAATATCGGTGGTGGCCAGGCTGAATGGTAGCGGGTATCTAAAGAATAAACTTTTATGTTAAACGTGGTTCTGAACTGATTATATGTCTTGGGGGAAACCAAGTTCTCGCACCAGTTGATGTTGCTAGAAGTTTTAGTAGAATTTGAAAAGCTTGAAGCATTCATTTAAGTGGTAATTATGAAAGTCGAAAATGTTTGGCTTGGCTTTTACAGAGTATGGTTGATCTCAAAGCCAGTGGGCAGTCAACAGCGACGCAAAATGGAGATTCGCACCAGTCAGGTCTTTATGACAACGTTCCGCCTTCAGAGGGAGAAAAAGTCACAGAACAGACACCATTGCGTAAATATCAAGGCACAACGCCGTCGAGTCGACAGGCGTTCGGCAGCGCGAGCGAGCGTCTTCGCAACGCCAATGACTCTCTGCGAGCCACTGGCAGAGGCCGGGACAGCTGGCACTTGGGTGGGACCACGCGGCTGACGCGGTCCGACAACAGAGCGGAGGAACAGGACTTGCCGCCCGCACCCCCACCACCGCTCGGCTTCAGAAACGAAGTGGAAAGCGAGAAGCAACGAAATGGCACGGCAACTGAGGCCACTCCCCCGGCGGTAGCACCTAAACCCGCCATCCACCCACATCCCTCGTTTGATCCCAGTGGTTATGGCCAAGGTAGATATCCTGTTGATAAGTGCTAGCTGCCAGTTTCAAATTAGGTTGATGGGAGCCTTGATATACTTGGGTACGCGAGTGAAATGTGCGTAAAATATCAATTGGAGTAATTTGGCCAATGCATTTTCCGACATAATTGCTTGTTATTGCTCAATTAATGTTCCCCTATTTTGACTACTGTTCTTGGTGTTGTTTGTGTTCGAAATTGTCTGTCTGCACCAAAACCTAATTTCGTATAGGGCTTACGTTAGTAGATGGATAGTAAGACTAGGTTTTGAAAGTTAATGACGGGCATGTTTTTCACTGCTTTCATGCGTGCGAATATGAACATCGGCGTACATTAAATAGGAAAAATGGGCACTTTTGCAGCAATGCAGGCACTCCTCTAAGCTTAGAAACGCAAAATGTCTCATGGCCGCCCCCAAATGTGATATCTGACACAAATGATGGTCTAAAGCCAGTTGGTTTATTTACTGCCAGCACAAATAAAATAATGGCTTTTTACCATTTTGCACTGTGAGAGGTAAATTAAGCATGACATCAAATCATACAATTACAAGGGGATCAAGGTGGTAGTGATTAAAAAGACGTCACAGGAATAATCCTCTAAATTGTCGTGAAGTCCTGTAGTCTGCTGAAAAAAATCCAGGAGACTTTTAGGCCTGGGTAGTGAGTTACATCTTTATAAATTTAATGTAATGGTGAAGAGACTAGCAAGGCATGACTCTAATATTTGTTAAAAGTGATCTTATTGACTCAACAATGCGTTTTAAAATGCAAAAATTAAGATTATTCGGTGTTGTTTTTAAAAGTGGGTTTCTGGTACTTTTAATTTAGTGGTAGTCTGTGGATAGCACCTGGTTAAACGCAGATTCTGCACGTAAATCCACGAATAGGAACGTCCTGCTGAGTAACACATTCATGATAGATGGTGGCCGTGATTGTCACTTGATTAGACGACAATTTTATTTTGTCCACGGACTTGCTAATACCAAAGTTGCAACTGTAGAACCTAATAATTAATGGCTTTCCGCACTCAAGGACTAGGAAAACCTTTAAACGTGAATTAAGTTGAACGTTTTTGCTCAAAATATACTAAATTTTGGATTTTTTTAGCTTGATACAACTATTCTCAGTTGATCAAAGTGGACTTTAAGGGATATTCATTTTTGTTCTTTTGGGTTATTCTCCAAAGCGATTGGATTTTATTACTGTTATAATCCGACAACTCTTCAAAATCAAAATTTCAGAGATTTGTCGTGATTTTACACCATCACCTCTTAAAGAGTTCGTTTTAAATGTATTCTTATGGGGTGACAGGGTAAACGCTCTTTTGGAAATGACAGGAATATTCCGGTCATTTAAATATGCAATTAAGGTCAGATAAGTCGTTGGTACTTTAGATCGTTAATCGTTCTTGCAGAGAATTATATTATAGGTATTATATTCACGATGAACGATTACCAATTTGGCCACAACTTGCTCAATTTAAAGACTTTCTGGTATTTAATTCAAGCATCATGGTTTTAAAAAGACACGTTTTCTTGAAGGAGCTGCGACCGATGCTGTGACGGACTAGGTATAACCCTCCAAATGTTTAGTTTGCAGTTAAGCAACTAAAACACCAGCCAAAAACTCTGGCACGAACTTGTGGGCTCGCCTACAGCATAATTATTTGACGGCCATCGTTCTTGAGCCCAATATTGCATGATTGTTGATTGGTTGTGGTTAGTATCACTTTCATCTATCATCTGACAGAAAATCAATTGAGTTTCCTGTCGACCGCAATTTTAGTTTCGAATGCGGCGTTACGACGTGGCCAATATGCTGTATTTCGCCTGATTTCCGGCTGATGTGTTTGGTAGTGAACGCGAGCGTCAGACTATTGCACTTTGCCTTTTCTCTACAACTGCCTTCACCATCCCAAGCGCGCATCATTAAAACATAAGTTTCGAGAAGGTTTTAGCATTCCAAACAAGCCTTGAAGTTAAGTAATATTAATGAACAGAGGAAGACTTCTTTTGTTCCGAGTTAGCTGTGCAAGAATTGTTTGATTTTACTTCATGTCCAAAGTTAGTTTTAAGCCGGACGAAAATCCAACGTGAAAAGGTGAATTAGCTACTCTTAGTTCTTCATGGCACACTACTGCGATCTCGAAAGGCAATTTCCTATTTATTCTTATTACTTAAAGATAGCGGATACTTAGGTGATAATTAATTAGGTGACTCAAAAGCCCGCCTACTTTAGGATCCTCCAAATTCAGCTGGCTGTCTCCAATGCCTTCTATTCGAAATTACCGGGCCTACCATGAGACGAGTAGCGAACAGCCCGAAATAGAGTTTTCAGCCATTCGCCAAGCGTGTAAGCAGAAACCGGCACAAACGAAGACGCTCTCGTTTGGTTCTGGTGTCTATGAGACCGAGGAGAAGTCGCCAGGTGAGCACCTTTTGCGCCCGAGCATGAAAGGCCTGGACGACGTGCTGCAGGAGTTACGCAATGCCAACGAAAACGTCACATCCGCAGTCCAAGCTGCAGAAAGACAGAGAAGAGCCCACGGTTTGACCACACCCAGCCACCATGCAATCTCGAAAACCAACGTTGGTCCTGCGTGGACAATGAAGCGTGAAGCTTGATCACATTGTTTGTATACATCGTTTCACTTACCAACCCCCTTTTGACCTTTTTAATGGACTGCCTATATAACATGTTTCTTTTACAAATATCTCACGAATAATTATTGCCCTCCTCATTTATAACCAATATCTCCTGATTTCTTTACCAGTCTAGTTTTCCTTTGCACGAAACAGTATTTGACCGTATATCTACTGAATATAAAAAGTAGGTGAAAAGGTTTATTTCCGCTCTTTTGGTAAGCGTACCAACCTATTTACGAATCAACGAAGTTGGCGAAATTGATCTACACGTGTAAAGGAGATGGTTTCCAAAACATTAATTAGACAAATGAACAACTTTATATTAGAGCGAAAACGCGTAGGAATAATAGCCGCACGCTCCGAGGCCGTCACCCTGGTGGTTCGTGTACTCGTCAAAGGACACATTTCAATCATTTACAATGATCAAATTCCACGTGGTATTGACAGCCCGGCCAATTTTTATACATAAACATCTTAGTTCACTTAATCACGTTGGGTTTCATTAAATCGCCATTTATCTAGTACACAGCAATTAAGGTCGAAAAACTTGTAGTGTTTATGAATTTCCAAGCAGCTATGTCTCGCCGAGAAAATTTATTTTTTTTTTGTCCAATGCCTCGGTGGTAATCCTAGGAGTCGGATGCTGATGGGAATGAATTGAAAATTTAATTGAATGAGTGTATACAGCAACTATCATTTACCAATGAATTTTAACCTGACGCTTGATGACTAAATTGGTTGCATTGGGGCTGATTTAAGCTATGCTTCCTATGCCAACGACACCACTAAACAAAACGCATTTGTTCCGACTGAGCAACCCCAATTCCTGGGTTACCAGGTACGGACCAGTTGCTTAATTTGAACCAAGGATTACAGGTTGTTGTAAAAGTTTTTTTTTTCATTTGTTTAGCTAAAGCTTTAATGTAACATTATCAGTGTTAAATGAAGGGAGCTGAAAGTGTTACTTAAATCAGCATCAAATTTGTCTTCGAATCCAGACCCATAATCAAGTAGAAAAACAAAACCTGGCTCCACGTACGCACGTACGCACGTAAGTAGGAAGGCAGTACGAAGCTATTCTGTCTCTGTTGCAATTTTTAATCTTCACAAAGCATTGCCCCAAGTGAATTAGCACTGAATTAGCTGTTTGGTTGCTTATTCAAAAAGTCGGACACCCAACGCACGCGGGCTTTCATCGGCTAGTGCAAAGTAAAAGCCACACCGGTTTCCATTGCGGACACGCGGCAGACAACAGGCGGTAAGCAGGAGGCAAGCCACTTCTCAAGAGCTGATAAAGCAGATACTACTGAATTATTCAGGGGTTTGCCAGAAACACAGACGCTGATAAGATTATCTTTGCAAAGGAAAAATAAAGCCACAACTTAATCGTGAATTGGTAAAGACTTCTTTGGAAATGCAACTAAGAAGTCAAGTGGTCACCACCCTGTTGCATGAACTCATCTAACGTCATGTCAGTTATGCTTTACTGTCCATTTAGAAGTTATCTTGAGAAAACAAACAGCAAAAATTAAAAGATGAGGTTCCAAAAGGAAATAGTATGAAAAGAAATGCATTTTTTTGCAAAACCGTTAACCATTGAAGCATTCTTGATAAGCAGGTTACTTTGCTAATCCCAAGAATGAAGCAAATCTGACAAAATGTTTTAAATGGCTCACCATCTATTATTAATCTTTGTGAGGGTGCATTCACTTACTCCACAAGTTAGTAGAGTTCTTGCGCTGTCGTGGAATATGGCTTTGTACTAGGCCAATGTTTTAATTTGAGTGAACAGTTAAAAATTCGTATAGTACATATGGCCGTAGTGGATCTGCGCGTCAGGTGCAGTTAACACTTGCGACCTTTGATTTCTATGAATAAAGTGAGGTGACGCGAACAAAATGCAAGTATATCTGATTTAGTATAGCTATTTCAGTAAATTTATCATGTGAAATCTGCAACTTTTTCAACAACTATTGAGGCTGATCCATTGGCAACTAACAGACACCCAGGTCTGACTTGATGCGATTATGAAAAATTACCGTATTACTAGCCAGAAACTTACCTGCTCCTGGCAACTGATGATTGTCTTAATATTTACGTAGTCTACGGTGTCGACAATTCAGTACGTGGTCTTCAGTCATTGACCCTTAGTAGTCTTATGAATTGAAATGCAAGATACTTTTATCCAATGTTGATTCCTTTTTTCAGGTCACGATTTCAAGGTATCCCTTCGGAGAGTGCTGTCGTTAGGCTAAGCAACCGAACACTTTTTTTGGTTTGGTTAGTTGTTTGTCCACGTAATCAAAACTGACAGCTGCCCATTTAATCTATGCTTTTTGACTGACATTAGCCCAATAACAAAGCTTGTGCTGCCACTAGCATGCCATTATGAGTAATTTGTCTCCGTTAGCCAAAGTCCTGTATAAGTTAATTTTATACTTACGATCAAGTAATAAAGATGGTTCGTGTCATCCTCGTGAAACGGTTCTGAATGTGTGGTGGGAGTGTGTACGCCAAATGGTTTTAATCTTTGCTTCTCGGTGATCATTGCACCTCGACGTTTACGCATGTAGCTATTAGTGAGAAATTTGGAACACTTGTTAATTCTTTTTGCAGTCAAGCCAGAGGAACACCCTAATTTCAATGATGCAATAAGTTACTGGCTTCAACGTCCTCCTCTTCGCTCTTTTTCATCTCCTCGTACAAGCGGACGAAAACGGCGTATTTTTACCGCGATTTGAAGAGTTTATCCTGATTCACTGCCCCCTCCCTCGTGTCATCGCGAATAGCAGGAAGAGACAAAGGGCTTCTCGAGTTGAGGATTCGTGTTGAATTCGCTCTCATTGTTCCACAGAGAAATGATTTTGAGCCGCATCTCTGTTTGAAAACAAGCAACGTAAGCATTCAGGTTTAGTTATAAATTCAAATGTAATTTTCAGAATTTGTTCTGTTTGACTCAATTTCAGATAACTTCCTTAATGGGGAATATTTCTGACATTTTAATTGATTATAACATTGTGCAACTGAATATCCACTATAAGGTTCCATTTCGAAATGTAACTCCACAATATTTCTTGGACGGAATTTACCAGTCTAATTAAACTTATGACATCCTTATCAAATCGAACTGTTAGCTAGGAGCTTGAATAATTTACCAGGCATGACTTAGTAATTCACACATTACCGTTTTTGATGAAAAAAAGTAGGTAATTTGTAAGCTCTGAAACTCATCTCAGAGGTTAAATCGTGTTTGCAATCTGTAACACGAAATTCGTAGAATTCAGTAGTTGAGATATCCCTAGGGTGAAGGTTGGTGTACACTTCATTCTCCCTTTATTCGAGGCACACTGTAAGGAAGTAGGGCATTTTATATTAGTGCCTGAAATCACAGTGAAAGAAATCACTATGGCATGGCCAGGAATTCGTTCAATTGACAATTTTATCGGTATACCGAAGACAAAGCAGAGTCGAATAAAAATGGAAATCCCTAAGCTAACTTACTATCGATCCACTGCTTTTCTTTTATGTGTGATTGGTCAATTTCTGGGAAAAGTGATTTAGTTGTAGTAAATACAAACATTTAAAAATCTGACAAGTTTCCATTCTAATCTGTTACTTAGCGCAGTCTGAAAATGGATGCAGTTACTTTTTTAATGTCTTGAGTGGTTATGAAAGTTCCAAGAAGAACGGTTTATTTCTCAAACAGATCGTGGCTGTAGGGTGATGACTGCATAGAGCTGACTCCAGGTATAAAGTATCAGTGCTAACTAACTCCAAGGCAAATTAGCTCTGATTGAAAAACTGTTGCCTATTATTCACAAAACATCTGACAATTTTACAAGATTTTCTGGCAGGATTATTTTCGACATTAATCATAGGGTTATGAGGTAAGTTGGTCACAGTTTAGGATATACTCATCTACTCCTAGCATGGAAACAAACTAATGAACAAAAATACCACCAAATCTGTGGACTAAACAGGGTGCAAATTTTGTATTCGTGAACTGCTCGTTTTAATGTTAGCTGATAGTGACCTGTAAAAACTAAGCATACGGTTTTAACAGCCGATAGGCTGTTAGTAGATATGCAGTCGTGTCGATGAGCCTTATATTTATGTATTCGCTTTTAGACGAATTTCGCTTCTTCGCTAACATCGAAATTTAAAGTGGAGGGATACAGACCACAGTTAGAGCCTTCAAACATTCAAAATGGACTTAGTTGAGTGTGGAAAAGGTTTGGTTGGATTTTACAACCATCCTAATGCATTTCCGAGCTTTCTGACAGTTGTTTCCATGACGCTTTTAAATTTGCCTTCTCGTTGGGGCGAAAAACATGTCGATTAAAGCAAGCATTAGACCCGAAATAGCAGCTCAAAGAAGGTTTTAAAAATGTCTTTAAACAAATGTTTTTAACCGTTTATCTACGCTGTTGATGCTAATTTGCCATAATTCACTGCCACATACTTAATTTGAGTGGGTCCGTCCCTGAAGAACAAACCATGTAATGGAATTAAGTGATGACATTTATCTTTTTATCTTTTTGTACTATTGGCCAAACATGTTTTTACATTGGAAAAGTCGGCCGCTTATTTGTGTAAACACGACAAATATTTCCAGTTTTTTCACATACAATGGGTGAAGTTTGAATATACAACAGGCTCAAAGAATCCCATCCGGCGATTTCTTCTTGTGCCGTATTAGCTAAACTTATGCAGGGTATTTATAATTTTTTTCACAAACGTTGCTAAATTTAAATGGGGAAACTTAAGGAAAACTTGTGAAACTTACTTTTAGCAAAATAAATTAGGAAATTCACTTCTGACTACCCGCACCAAGTCCGGTATGATGATTTCGCTTAGTGTCTAGGCAGGTTTGGCCTCGAGGGAATGAAATTCTTCGTGGTAACTTTTTACATTTTGGAAGAACATATACATGAGTGATGATTCACACGATTTTCATGAGGAAGCGACATTTAACTTTA